TTAATTTGAAAACAAAATACGAAGTAGTGTTACACATAATACGCAGTTATGAAATTAACCAAATATCAAAGGAAATGAAATGAAATTGGGTTTAGCTTTGTTATGCGCCGGCAGGGCCAATGAAGACGGACATACGCCATACATTGTGCAATGATGGAAATTTAGTCCGGCTGTCTCTTATGTCAAATTTCAACTGTCAAGTATACCAGTGTGTACCTCGGTTTTTGCCACATCCGAACGACTATACATTGCCCCCCCCCCCCTGCTGCTAACCGCCTACATTAAAATTAAAACCACTCACCGTGTGGTCTTAGAGTAAATGCGGGCTAAATTCAATTTCAATCTGAAATGGGAATAGTGTTTGACATTCTGCACACAGAGATCCATCTACGGCATACTTCGAGAATAGATCTCTGCCCTGAATGGCCGCCATATCCAAAAATTAGTATATTGTTTTGTATTGCGGTTCACATATCTAATACACACAAAGAACAAATAAACCTTTTCAATTTTATTGAATGGATGTGGAATAAATACTTCACAAAATTCTCGAAATATACAGTGTTTTCGACTAAAATCGTCGATTTTAGACCTAAAATGTCGGTCAACTAGCTTAGTGCCTGTTTTCAAGCGGATCTAACTGTAAATATGCACCTAAAGTTTAGTATGCCGTGTTTGAAAGACGTTAAGCCATACGTGATAGCAAGTGCCGAATTAACCATTAGGCATATATGGCACGTGCGTTAGGGCCAGTCAAAAAGCCAGGTCACAAAAAAATAAATTAAAAAAAGGATAATCTAGCTACCGTAATCTTACAGTAATTTGAATGTTTTTGTAATAATTTTCTGTTATCGGTGAACTCAAATTATCTGTATTTTCAGGCCACGTATTAAAATGTGCCTGAGAGCCAGCGGAGCCTTAATCCGGCACTGGTGGTAGTCAATCTATGAATACAATTTGTCCACTTCCGGTCGGCGTGAAGAATTGTTTTCGAGAATGGCTGTAAATGAAAGATCGTTAACGTGGCATAATTTAAAATACAATGAAAATGTCATACTCTGTTGTGATAAGAAATAATGATTTCATACAATGATTGTTAAAAGACAATGAAGATGTCATACTCTATCTAGGTTAGCGACTCCAACTCGAACGCAAACCACGGAAACCCCACTCAATAAATGTAGTCTGTATTCATGTGCAGGGGGGGGGGGGGGTAAACGCGTGTCCGTTAGATCATTTGGGCTGTCATTGAGTCAATTAGATTGAATTTCCCGCTTGTACATGACAAGGAGTAGGGTTGCCTCGCCAACGTTGTGGGTTGCCTTCGGGTCCTCCTGTTTACCCCCTACCCCACAGCTGAGCAAATTGGACCATATATTAGTCTCTCAGCGTGCAAGATATTACACAGAAAAAGGAAAAAATGTTTATTAAAGTGTCACACGATATACATTTACATAATGTTATTCAATTAAAACCTCGGCCACGTAGATCTCGATGCCCTAAGCTCCAGGCCCCGAGTTCACAAAACATCTTCAGACTTAAGTTATATTAAGAATTTACTCAAACTTCTTCGCCTAATTTTAACTAAGATATAGCTCTTTATAAAACGTTTGTTATTTTAATGTATCGAAGACAACAACAAGAAACTATGTGCAAAGTTTTGTGTTTCTGGAACAAAGATATTTCTCATAAATAGTGATTGAAAGTTGAGTAAATTCTTAAGTTAAGTCTGAGAAAGCTTGTGTAATATTTTGCAGGTTCAAAGGTTTTCTTAAAGTTAAGTAAAAATACTTAATTTTTCCACTTAACCAAGTGTCTTATTCGAATTATCGAATAGTGGTAGTATAGTGATGGATATTGTAAACTTTATTATAACGAATAGATAATAACATATTAGCAATAAGCAGGGCTATTGGCTTTAAAGTTAAACTGAACAAATCATTCGGTGGTGTTTATCAATCTATCATTTGAGAAATTCATAGAAATTGTGTCAGTTCCTATAAATCCCAAAGGCCTGGCCATTACGCTACATTGTAAATCATTGGTGGCACACTTCGGTCAGCAGTCATCATCATCTATACTCAGCCAAATTAAAAACTTGACACTGATGAATTTCAACAAATTTTTTTTCTTTGAATAATAAGTAGTAAGAAGCCTTTAATTTCATAAAATTGTAAAGTCACGTGGATCACGTGACTTTTGAGCATATAAAGATGAAAAACCTGAAAAACACGTGCAAACACAAACTCGTGAGGTCAATCGATGCAAGTTTGCTTAAAGTGAACACGCACACGTAACTTGAACTGGAAAAACAAATCAAAATTGTTATCTTTGTTAGAAAATGCCGCGCCTTTCAAATGTAGAACGTGTACGTGCTATAGGTAGGCTCTATGCTGGTCAGTCTGTGGTCACTGTTGCAAGAGCCTTTAATTGTTCACGCCAGACAATAATTAATCTTAGAATGAGAGTGCTTCAAACTGGAACTATTGCCGACCGCCCAAGGGCGGGAGCGCCACGTGTGACGTCACTCCAGGAAGATCAAGCATAGAAATATAGTCTATATTTCTATGAGATCAAGCAATACGATTACGTCATCTTAGATTAGAAACAGATTTGTAACTGCAACCTCCACATGTAGAGAGATGTTTGGTGGAAGGGTAACTGCACAAACTGTTCGAAATCGCTTGCAGGCTGCTGGTCTTCGAGCTCGGAGGCCCTATAATGGATCAATATTGACACCTCTTCATCGCCGTAACCGACGTATGTGGGCCACAAGACACATACGATTTACACAAAGACAGTGGAATTCGGTTGTCTTTATATAGTGACGAATCTCGATTCACTTTGAGATTTGCCGATGGCAGGATCCGAGTGTACCGCAGACGAGGTGAACGTTACGCTCAAGTATGCGTCAGAGAAGTTGACCGATTTGGTGGCGGCAGCCTCATGGTTTGGGGTTCTTTTTGTGCACATGGACGTTCTCCTCTTGTTGTTGTCCAAGGGAACTTAAATGCTGTCCAGAACAGGGATCATACAATGGCTCGACCCAATACAGCAATTGCTACCCAGAATCTTTGAAGAAATGCCGGTGTCCAAGTCCTGGATTGGCCGTCGCTTAGCCCCGACCTTAATCCTATTTAACACATCTGGGACGAACTGGGTCGACGTGTTCGTCAGCAAGTGAATCCACCACTGACATTGCAGGACCTTCAACATGCTCTTGCTGAGCAGTGGCGACGTCTTCCTCGGGTAGTGTTTACTAATGTTCTGAGATCCATGAGAAGACGTTGTGTGGCAGTACGAGACGCCAGAGGAGGCCACAACCGTTACTAAACACTTTATTCCGATTGTTCTCCAAGTCTGAGAATTTCATTTTGGGGGTTACTGTGACATCACGAACGTTATCAATGTCAAGGCCTTTCGGCGAGGCGTATTCTTGCTTTCTGTTGATGTCAAGGTCGTCTGTGCACAACATAACACTAAAATAGTTGCCTTAAACCAAATATTAAAAATCTAGTCCCAAAAATCCCGAGTGTTAAGTTTTTAATTTGGCTGAGTAATATTTGCAAATTTATAAAACGAAGACAAGAACATGTAACAATCAAAACTTCAAATATGTATCTGGGAATGAATTGTAAAAAATAAACCACGCTTTGCTTCTGGCGGCCGTATTAATATTTTCTGAAATTTACAATGGAATGTCATCGCAATGTCAAATTTACTATATGATAGTCGTGGCAAACAGGATTGATTAAGCAATACGATAGATGATCGGGGAAAAAAACCCTTGAACATTTCGGTGGTAGTAAACTTATACACTATTATGGCTCTACAAAATCAAAGCTTATGATGAAAAAAAAAACGTTTGATGCCAGCTACGCTCAGCGACATAGTCTTTGTTTAAATCTCAATTCCCTAACTTTCAAAATCGCCATTACAGGCCAACTACTACATTGTGTACTCCGGTTAAAGGAAGTCATTATAATCTCACTTAACTTTAAGGTATCTCCCATAGGTCACTTAAAGTTAAGTAGATTTTTCTCACTTAAACTGGCCTTTGAATATCACTAAAAGACTAAACACTTATAAGTTAAGGCAGCTTAACTTTTAGGGAAAATTCGGTACTTAACTCTGCTTTGAATACCACTTACCCATAACTTACAGAAATTTGCATATATTTAAGTGAAATCTAGTAGATAAGTAACTATCTTAGACTTAAGATATCCTTTGAATACGGACCCTGATCTGTTAAGCCGGTAAAATCTGACAATGTTTGATTTGAATTTTTCAGATGATGTTATTCATTTGGAGGGAAAGGATATTCACATGTTATAAAGATTCATTACTCAAAGGGTATCAACAGCATCTCCGAGAATATCACCAACACCACCTAAAGTGTCATCAACACCATCAACAACACCGGATATGATATCACCGACTCCATCAAGTATTCCACAGACCAAACCACCTCCACCGCCTAAAAGACCACCCGGAGCCTTATTGGTCGTTGACGTAGTAGTGGTTGCAGGAGTGGTTGTTGGGTTTCTGCTGGCTGTACTCATATCTCCGTTTAACTGATAACTTTACTAGAACAAAAACACACATATATGGAAATTGTTAATTACAACAGTCTGTTAATTACAATACATATAGTCATAAGGTATGTCAGTGAGTCAAGTGGCATGATTTCGTCCACAAGCTGGGCAAGGTATAGAGTCCCCTGTCTTCTGCCACCTCCCTCCATCTCACTGTCTCTCTCTCTCTCTCTCTCTCTCTCTCTCTCTCTCGTACATGCTGTATATTAATTGCATATACAAGCAGGTGTTTATGGATGCTTGAGTTTATTTAACTATATAACTATAATTAATTTGTGGAATCTATTCTAGACAACTTCATTGATTATAACAGTCATTTATATAATCCAATCAGGATTGTTGATTAATGATAAAAATATACTAGCGGCTACCATATTTATTACAGGAAACCTGTTGATAGCAGATACATGTATAGTCTCTTAACAACCCCAACTTATCACGGGATTAACATATGAGAAAAAGTTGGGATCATGAACCAAAATTCGGTATAAATGAAAACCATTAGATTGTTGGTGATTCATTGAAGTAGGCGTCTATTCCATGTACGACTTGCGTTTTTTGGAGCCTGGGATACATTAGTTAGTCAAAAAGAAAGCCATTATCAAGCCGTGGGGATTTTTTATTAGTGAGTGTGTTTCGATCGTTTTAGGTAAGTAAAATGTGCTCTACTTCTTAGTATAGAATACTATTCTAAAAGATTTTTAATGCTAGTTTATTTTTAGGATTTTCGCGTCTCCTTTTCACACGCGATAAAGATCAATTTCAAATTATTTTTAAAAAAATAAGACTGAATATTCATGTTGGGAGTTTAAATTAGATTAATTATTCATTATCTTCAGCAGTATCATTCAATGAGCGGCTGTCGTGAGATTGTAATATCATGTACTCATAAAAGCCGGGCATTTTTTTTAATATAGTGACTAATGGGACGGCAACCAATGCTTTATGAATGAATAAAAAAGCTGTGAGACAATGCCGGTGATGATGGGGTAACACCGATGATGTTGTCAAGTGAACATTACGCGCCTTTATTAACATTTTAGAAAGTATCTAGCATACATGTAATGATGCATTATGTACGAAATTAGATAAAGATCTGGCTGTTCTTGCTATAATAGTTCAAAAATAGATAATGCAAAATAAATATTTTGAAAATTTCATTCAAATTACTTTGTTCTGAGTGAAGTTATGGGTGTTGGAAGATGTAGCTTAGCTTCAATATTATCGTAGCAACGGTACTGGACAAGCTAGTCTTAGTCTCGACTATCCAATTTAACGTTAATTTTTTAAATCTAGCGGGCGTTCTTTACATCTCAAATATAATGAATACCAATTCATAGTGTTTTTTTGTGCCCGTCTTCGTTAGACCAGTTTAGGAGCAGAACAGTAGGACGTTAAACCCCATTTCATTTCATTTCCGTGATTCTTTGTTGAATTTTATGTCCAATATTTTCCAAACAAACGCCACGTGTAAAAGAAATATAAAGCTTGCCAAACAGTTTAAGTTTTGTCTCTAAATATAGTCCTTCGGATGAGACGAAAAACCGAGGTCCCGTGTATATATTGGAATGCACGTGAAAGATCCCCTGGCAGTTGGAATTCGATATAAGAGTAGGCGATAGTGCCGCTGCCCGGGAAAAATTTCCCTCATAGCACACTGTATGGTGTATGCCCGTCTTCATTAGCCTACTATAGGGGCAGAACAGTAGGACGTTAAACCCCATTTCATTTCATTTCATTTGTTTCTAAATAATTCTTGGTTTTACATAGTACACAATTCTATTCGACACAATTACTGTTCAGTACCGAGCGATGTTTCGACTAGGCTTCTCTAGTCGTTATCATGCAATGATGAGACTGTTTATTATTGCTGAGCGACGTTTCAATCTGGATCCTTTTAGAGTCGTTATCAAGCAAACGATATAATACAATTGTAATGACCAATTCTATGGAAATGAAATGAAATAGGGTTTAACGTCCTACTGTTCTGTTCCGACTTGGCTAATGAAGATGGGCATACGACATACAGTGTGTATGAGAGAAATTTTTGCCCGGACCTCACGGCGCTACGGCCTTCTCTTATATCGAATTCCAACTATCAGGGGATCTCGATTTTTCGTCCCATCCGAACGACTAGATATCCGTCCTTGTCAGGCCCTCCACCCTGCACCACTGACAAGGGGCACCACGCTGGACAATCCCGTTGAAATTTTTCGGCCAACACCGGAAGCGAACCGGCAACCTCCAGGCTAACGAGCTACCGTGGTTCTATCAATTCTATGGAAGACAATTACTGTTTATTACGGGTCGCTGTTTCGGCTAGGCTTCATTATCCAGCAAATATATATGAAAACACACAGGACACAATTCTATGAAACACAATTACTGCTTTTTTTTACTGAATCACGTTCCAGTTGGTCTTTATCACACAAATAACACAATTATAAACCACTAATCGCAATTTACCCCCGCTTGCACTCAGGTTAATATCAAAGACAGAAACCTAAATTAATTAAACATACATTATACAAGAGCTAAATCTACCTAATGCACTTTTTCCTTTAGGCATTAAATGTTATCTAAATCATCAATTAGACATTGATTAACTTATCAAGTCCATAATCAACCCTCGATGCCATCGTTAGTCTGCGATATTTAATGAATTTGAATACGTTTTGTGATAGATGATTTAACGTATAAATGGATAATCGTGACCTTGTTTATTATCGTACCAACGGTAGTAAAAACGGTCGGGGCTAGCCTAACATTGAATCGCTAATATCTTGGTTCAGAGTGAAGCAATTTGACTGAAATTTTCAGCATATTCAGTTTTCATTATCTATCTTTTAACTAGTATATCGAGAATTGTAAACACTTCATCTAATCTTACATAATGCCCCTTTAATGTCAAACTGTCCTGGAGATAATCAAAGTTGATTATCGTAATGCCAAGCGTTTGAGAATACCAGCTTTTTAAGTGATGAAACTAATTGATGAAATTGTAATAATAACGTCAAATATAACACAAAATACATTTACCCTGGGAGGAAAGCAAATTAATTAATGGGGAATAAACTTATGTCGTAGTTCTAATTGATATTATATGTCAAAAAAATGATAAATAATTAATTCAACAATCACAAGCACTCTACACAATGTTGTTGTTTACATTAATACATTACAATGTTTTATATTTTACCGGAGCCGCGGTGGCTCAGTGGATAGGGCGTTGGCTCACTAACTAATTCGAAATAAGAGTAGGTCGTAGCGGTATGCATTCTGTCTTCATTAGCCCTATAGGCGTAGAAAAGTAGACATTAAAACTCCGTTCATTTCGTTTTATATTTCACAAATTGCTTGATAATTACTAGAAATGAAATGAAATGAAATGAAATGAAATGAGGTTTAACGTCCTACTGTTCTGTTCCGACTGGGCTAGTGAAGACAGGCATACACCATGCCGTGTGCTGTGAGGGAATTATGCTTAGCTATGGTCTACTCTTAGTTCGAACTCCAACTATCACGGGCTTTTTTTACGTGCACGCCAATGTCTACACGGGACCTCGGTTTTTTCGTTCCATCCGAACCGTTGTCCCTTGTCAGCCCCCTCCATTCCCTTACACCACTGATAAAGACGATCAACGCCAGAAAATCCAATGAACACGGGACCTCCAGGCTAGCGAGCCAACGTCTTACTCAATGAGCCACCGTGGCTCCGATAATGACTAAAGAAGCCTTGTCAAAACGTGGCTCAGTAATGAACAGTAAGTTTCCTTTTAATTCATCTCCATTATAATTTGTGTTGATAGACTTGAATAATATGATACTTATTGTATTCATCTGGTAATCGTAATGCATAATGCATGTATTTATAAAAATCGGCGTCTTATCTTGTAGACAATCTGAAATACAGTGAGTAATTCGATGATACACAATAAACAACAAGTAAATTATATACGTCAATTTTAATTTACTGGTTATTATTTTGCTAAATTTATTTTACATGATCGTGAAAGATACCAGATATTCTGGCAAGCATGATCTACGTAGAAAAGGTTTTTCTAACAGTTAATTTGATGTCATTTCCTGACAAATGAAATGGGGTTGAACGTCCTTTTGTTCTGCTCCGACTGTGCAATAAGGGAAACTTTTCTCGGGCAGTGGCGCTGCCGTCTACTGTAATTTCGAATATCAAATGTCAAGGATTCATGAACGTGCACGCCTATGTGTACACGGGGCGTTGGTTTTTGTCCAATCCGAAAGAGTAGACACGGTTCCTTGCTAATTCCTCTGTCCTGCACCACTGATAATTGGGAACGCAAGGAACTTTCTCGGCCAATCCTGATACGGTACAAGAGATCCCTGGTTAGCGAACCAGCGGCTTACTCACTGGGTCACCACGACTCCCAGCTATCCTGACAGTAATCGTTCAAACATTAATTTGTGATAAAGTGTACAAAAAAGAAACAAAATTTCTTTCGTAGAGATGACTGTTTGAATAGACGCGTTGCTATATTACATGACCGATTTCTGAATAGATGCAATGCTATCACAGGATTGGTGTCTGATTAAATGTGGTGCTATCACATGACTGGTGTCTGAATAGATGCAGTGCTATCTGGCATGAATGGTGTCTGAATAGATGAGGTGCTGTCAAATGGTTGGTGTCTGAATAGATGAGGTACTATCACATGACTGTTGTCCGAATAGGTGAGGTGCTATCACGTGACTGGTGTCTGGATAGATGCCACATGAATGGTGCCTGAATAGATGAGGTGCTATCACATGACTGGTATCTGAATATATGCGATGCTATCTCACCCGATTAGTATCCGAATAGATGCGTTGCTATCACATGACTGGTGTCTGAATAGGTGAGGTTCTATCAAATGACTGGTGTCTGAATAGATGCCCTGCTATCACACGACTGATGTCTCTATTGATGCTATCACATGACTGGTTTCTGAATAGATGTTATGCTATCGCATGCCTGGTTTCGGAAAAGATGCGATGCTATCACATGACTGATGTCGGAATATATGCGGTGCTATCCCATGACTGATGCAGGAATAGATGCTGTGCTATCGCATGACTGGTGTCGGAATAGATGCGATGCTATCACATGACTGATGTCGGAATATATGCGGTGCTATCACATGACTGATGTCGGAATAGATGCGGTGCTATCGCATGACTGGTGTCAGAATAGATGAGGTGCTATCACATGACTGATGTCGGAATATATGCGGTGCTATCACATGACTGGTGTCTGATTAGATGAAGTGCTATCACACGAATGGTGTCGGAATAGATGTGATGTTATCTGACATGACCAGTGTCCGAATAGATGCGGCGCTACCACATGGTTGGTGTCTGAATAGATGAGGTGCTATCCCATGCCAAGTGTCTGAGGTGTCTGAATAGATGCGTTGCTATATCTCATAATACAATTATATTTCGGTTATTGATTCAATGACAGACCTTATGATCTAACGGTTGTTTGTTTGCTTGTTTTTTACTTTCTATTTTTGTTAATATACTAAAAGACACCGTGTCACACGCTGAACATTATCATTCATACAAGCACGATTATGTCCGTTTCTGCCGGGTATTTTTTAGTTCTGCATGTGTGCTTAAATTTTTGTTGCT